AGTGCTAGGGATACTGGTAAAGACTTGTGCCGATCAATTAGTGGGGACCCTGACAAAGATCTTTAACATCTCCCTGCAAACGGCCTGTGTTCTATCTTGCTTAAAAACAGCCACTATTTTCCCAGGCCCTAAGAAAACAGCAATTAACTGCTTAAATGACTACAGACCTATTGCGTTAACATCAGTAGTGATGCAATACTTTGAAAGACTGTTTCTCCAACACCATGCCTCCCACCAGACTGACAAACATCAGGGGGAACAGGTCGACAGACGATGCCATAGCTACTGCCTTACATTCTGTAGTGAGCCATCTGGAGAAACCCAGAAACTATATCAGGATGTTTTTAATTGACTACAGCTCGGCCTTCGATACTATCCTGCTGAGCATCCTTATCAAAAAGCTGACTGACTTGGATTTCCCCTCTTCCATCTGCGACTGGATCAAAAACTTTCTGAGGGACTGACCACAAAAAGTAAGGGCTGGGTCTGTCACATCACCTCCCTAAAGCTTAGCACTGGCTCCCACAAGGCTGTGTGCTCAGTGCCTACCTGTACTCACTGTACACACATGATTGTATATTGTCTGACCCAGGGGTCACCAACTTTTTGGACCTCAGGGACCACCAAACTCATAATTTTAGATCCCAGGGACCACTAACCGGTTCTGTGGGCATGGCCTAATGTATGGGTGTGGCTTGGTGGTCATGTGACTGGCTGGGCATGGCTTGTATGTAATTATTATAAATATTTATATAAATATTTATTTTTTTATTTAAAAAAAGAGCAACTTTTACCCAAAATCAGGTAAAGCAGACAGAGTTGCTCACAGAATCACAGATTCATTCAGAGATCTATCTATCTGCCATGGCTAGCTCAGTCTGTCATATAAAATTTGCTTGCAGGCAAACTCAAAAAATTAACTCACAACACACCATGCATGTAAATATTGAATTTTTTATTTAAAAAAGAGCAACTTTTACCCAAAATCAGGCAAAGCAGGCAGATTGAGTTGTTCACAGAATCATTCAGTGATCTATCTATCTGCTATCAGCTAGCTCAGTCTCTCAAATTTGCTTGCCGTGAGTCTGCACTGAATTTGCTTGCAAAAAGCAAACCTTCAGTCCTAATAGAGGTTTGGCTGTGCTGAGCCGAAGATCTAAAGACTAGCTATAAAGCAAGAAATCCAACCATTTCCTGCTTCCTAGCTAATCTAAATCTCCCAACACAACAGAGCAGATGATGGTCAGAAAAAGGAAAAATAGCAATTTAGCAGGCAAGTTTACCAGGTAAGGAGTGAGTGGGGGTTTTCTGGGGGTGACATTTTTCTGTGGCCCACCAAAATTTTCTCACGGCCCACCAGTTGGCGACCGCTGGTCTGACCCATCCACTGTGATCATTAAGTTCACATATGATACAACCATATTGGGTCTCATTACAGGTGGAGACGAAACAGTGCACAGGGGAAGGTTCAAAATTTATCCTCATGATGCTTAGAAAACAACCTGCACCTGAACATCAGCAAGACAAAGGAGATGGTGTTAGACTTCTGGAAGAAGAGAGAGGAAACCACCCCACTTTACATTGAGGGGGGCTGTGTGGAGAGAATTTCCTCCTTTAAATTTCTGGGAATCTACATCAGCGAAGATCTTACCTGGAAAATCAACAAAACCCAGAAAGGCTCAACAGGGACTCCATTTGCTTTGGGTCTTGCAAAAGAAGAATAAAGTGGAACAACACCTGATGACCCACTTTTACAATAGAAAGCATTCTTTCATATTGCATTACGATGTGGTATGCTGGCTTGACAGCTGTGGATAGAAAGGCATTACAGAGGGTGGTGAGCACAGCACAAAACATCATGGGCTGTTCCCTGATACCACTAGATGACATCGCTAGGGCTCACTGCCTTAGAAGAGTGAGGAAAATTCTCAGGGACGACTCACACCCCAGTCAGCACTTCTTCACTCTTCTACCATCGGGGAGGAGATATAGCAGCATAGCCAGCCACACCAACAGGCTGAAGAACAGTTTCTACCTGTGGGCTGTCAGACTTCTGAACAGAAAATAACTTCATGTCAAAATACTGCAATATGATAGACTTGCGGGGCCAGCGTGTTGTGCAACAAAGTCACATGGTGTAATAAGATTGTGACTAGGTTAGGGACTTCTGTCCTTGCTGTGAGTTGTGTTGGGAGGGTGCACGAAGGGAGGCTCAGCCAATCTCATTGTACACACGCTGTACTCTGACAATAAAAGTAATAATCGCAACATTTCTACTTTTTTTCTTTTAATAAAACACATTCTTCAATCATAAGATGTATGGTTTCCTTCTCAACTACTCAAAAGGAGATATGACTGCTGTTCTCTGGCCACCTGTCTCAAAACTGTTAGAAACGAAAGTGGTGCTCCAGTGTTTTTCCTTAGCCCCATAATAATTTTTATAACCAGTTTATCTGTAAATTGTCCAAGCCATAAAAGCTCATCTCTGTCACATGCAGGGATTATAGGGGTCAACTGATTTGTTTTCTGCAGATAAGGGGTGCCAGTGGAAAAGTATTATATAACCAATTACAAGCTTGTACCATACATTCTGATAAGTAGAAAACAAGGCTGAAGACTGCGGCCAGTTGGGTCCATTTGTTTACTATGTGCATTGCCCTATGTGCATCGCTCTCTCTCTCTCTCTCTCTCTCCCGCTACATATCTATCTATCTATCTATCTATCTATCTATCTATCTATCTATCTAT